AACTCCAAGGTTAGATTGGTGGGAGGAAGACTTTCTATAACTTCGTGAATAAGGCTTATTGCCATTGACTCTAAATTATGACGTGTTGAAGGCATAGTAAACAAAATTCAAGTTCTTGGTGTCCACTACTCCAAGTGTAGCTTCTTGCTTCCATTTAACAAGGATTTATAGGAACTTCTCACATGGATTAGTGTCATTCAGACACAACTGATTGTGATCTCCTCGCCATCATTCTAGTTGTTCTTTGGCTCTTGATGTTGAACTATGCGAGTTGGGAGCCAACTAAGTTATCTCTCTCTTATGATTTCCTATGGTTCTCAGTAACTTCCTATGTTTGACATTCCAACATTCATCAATCATTGAGTCATTAGTCTTCATCAACCCCATCAAGGGTGGGAGAAATATTTCTTTTTGAAATTGGAAGTTGATGATTAGGGTTGTTTGTACCAAACCCACTAAGTCATCTGCAAAGATCAAATCCAGGTATCCCAACGTGGAGGTGATGGAATGAACTAGGGTGTTAAGAAGGTTTCCCCAGTGTTAGAGGACTCGATGTACTCAAAGTTTGTATTGAAAGATGATGTTGAGTGAGGTGGCACCACCTTGCTGCTAGGGCATTGGAGAGTAGGAAGTCTACCTGTTTTTGACTTAGCCGGCGTCGAGCTTATGGAAAGGCAATGTATCCCACCTGCTTATTGTTCAAGGAGTCCATCTGTGGACGGATGCCATATTGATTTTGACTTCTCACCTATGAAAATGACAAATTAGAAAATAATTTTAACAAAAGAGATAGACTTATTTAGGGGATATAAGGTGGGATGTTGCCTGCCTGTTGGACTATTAACCAATATGTGAAGGTAATAAGGCATACTACTTAGTTAGAGGACTGGTGAGACCTAATAGCTCACTAAAACCTGACAAAACTAGTGGTCAATGTGGTAGCACGTTTTTTTATAGTCTTCTAGCTTTGTTCGATTGATGTTTGAACCAAGTCATGGCATTCTTCTATCTTTGTTTAACTTTCTTAGAGAAGAATTTGGGTGGTGGTACCTTCAATCAAGGAGGAGCTGAGGTGACCCGATCTATATGATTTTGTGCTTGTTGGATAAGTTGATTTTTATGTTAAAGTAATTATTGAAAATTTTCATAGAATCATGAAAGAATCTTGATTTTATTTTATTGATTAAAAAAGAACATATGATCAAGTATCACAATAATTTATTTAGTGATCATAAGGAGAGAAGATACATCAAATATATGTTGAAGTTTTTGAAGATTTGTATGATGAAGTAATAATTTACATTAGAAATAGAAGTTATGTGGAATTCTAAATAATTATTAATAACAAAATAATTATATTAATAATCATTATTAAATTCATATCTTCTAGTATTTATTATGGAGATTTATATTAAAGATAAGTAGTTTATCATGATGAGGGCGGGCCTTTTCTTTATTAACAGAAAAGTTAGAGTAATTGATGATGTTTATATAAGGGTCTTAAAGATTGGTAGAATACATGTTGGATACATGCATTTTAATTATAACAAGGTCAAAATGATGGGTCAGTTTTATTGGATGATGAAATGATTATCTAGCTATCATAGGTTTTAGTACCTTTGACCATCAACAAAAGAATGATGATAGGGGTAAGGATATAGATTGTAGATATAAGATAAGCGTCATATTTGATAAGAGATTATATTAGAGACTCTGAAGATTATAAAATATATGTAGATTGGAGATGCTATATGGATTTGAATACAACAACAACAACATGAAGCCTTTATCCCACTACGTGGGGTCGGCTATATGAATCATTTTTCTCCATTGTGTTCTATTAAAGGTCAAATACTCGTTTAAATCTAATAAAGAAAGGTCATTCCTAATATTTTCTAACCAAGTCTTTTTAGGTTTGCCTCTACCTTTCTTAACATAAGTCAAATCTAATACCTCTACTCTCCTAACCGGGTCATTGGAAGACCGCCGTTTTATATGACCAAACCATCTAATGCGACTCTCTCTAATCTTATCTTCTACTGGAGCTACTCCAACCTTTTCACGTATATGCTCATTTCAAATCCTATCTCTAAGGGTAAAGCCACTCATCCACATGAGCATCCTCATCTCTGCCAAACTTAACTTAGTATTATGCTTCTCTTTTAATGGCCAACATTCAACACCATAAAGCAGTGCAGGCCTCACTACCATCTTATAGAATTTTCCCTTAAGTTTAAGGGGTACTTTTCTGTCACACAACAAGCCCGATGCATTCCTCCACTTCAACCATCCAACTTGAATTCTACTGATAATATCCCCATCTATTTCACCATCACTCTGAACAATAGATCCAAGTTATCTAAAACGTTTACGCTTATTAATAACTTGATCGCCCAAAGTCACAATCCCCTCATTAGGTCTATTACTACTAAAATTACACTCCATATATTCCGTTTTAGATCTACTCAAGCGAAAACCTTTAGTCTCTAATGTTGACCTCCATAATTCAAGTTTACTTTCAACTCTCTCTCTAGTCTTATCAACAAGAAAAATATCATCAGCAAAAAGCATTTCCACACCTCTATTGGAATATCATCAGGTCCAACAGCTTTTTCCACCCTTCATTCTATTTAAAGCCTCTCTAACTTCAGTTTTACTAATATGCCGATAAAAATATAAATCTTTATTTTCATTTAGGGTGCTAAGGTCACTATAGTCAATCTTATTTTCACAATCTTCATTAAAAAGTTTAGCAAAATATCTCATCCACCTTTGTTGAATATCATCTTCTAAGAAAAATATTTTTTTTATCTTTATCCTTAATACATTTCACTCTTCTTTCCCACCTTTGTTGAATATCTCTTTGTTTGGCTAACTTATACATATATATCTTTCTCCCCCCTTAGTATCTAATCTATTTTATAAATCACTAAAAGCTAAGATCTTTGCATTGCAAATTGCTTTCTTAGATTCCTTATAAGCCTCTTTATATCTTTCCCAATTATCAGAATTTTTAAAATTAAACCAATTTTTATAATAAATATTCTTATTTTTAATCTTTTCTTGCACATTTGGATTCCACCACCAACTATTTTTACTATTAAGAGCTTTTTCCTCTGATACTCCAAGCATCTTTTGCAATATTCTTAATATCACTAGCCACTTTTTCACACATAACATTAGCATTCTCATGCACAGATAAAATCTTAAGATCTAAAATCTTACTCTCAAAAATATTTTTGTTAATATTCTTTAAAAGCCCCCATCTAATCTTAGAATATCGTTTTACTTTATTTTTTATTTTATGCCCCTTTATCTTAAAGTCCAAAACTAATAATCGATGTTGGGTACATAAATTTTCACTCGGAATAATTTTATAATCTTTGCAATCTAAACGATCTAATTTTCTTGTAAGAAAATAGTCAATATGGGTTGTATTATATCCATTTTTATAAGTGATGAGATGTTCATTCATTTTCTTAAATATTGTATTAACAATTGAAAAATCATAAGCTAAACAAAAATCTAAATGGTCTTTCCACCTTTATTTGTCGTTTCAAAACCATGACCACCATGAATGCTTTTAAAATCATCTACTTCTCTATCAACATGTCCATTTAAATATCCTTCAATAAAAACTCTTTCTTCAAGAGTTATCTTTTGTAATAATTCTTCCTAGTCATTCTAAAAATTTAATTTAGAATCATATCCAAACCTACTTAAGGAGCATAAACACTTTTAATATTAATAATCTTATCATCAGCAATAATTTTTAAAGCTATAATTCTATCTTCAATCCTATTAATTTTTATAACATTATCCTTCAAACTCTTATCTATAATAACACATACACCATTTCTAGTATGACTCCTACCTGAATATCAAAGTTTAAATCCTAAACTATCAATTTCCTTATCCTTCTCTCCAACCCATTTAGTTTCCTGAATGTACAAAATATTTATCTTCCTATGAATCATAATATCTATTAATTCTATTAATTTTCCTGAAAGGGAACCTATGTTTCAAGTTCCTATCATAATTTTAGTCTCATGGACTAGCTTCTTTGTCCACATCCATCTTTGATGTGGGAACCATTGCTTATTTAACACTACATCCGGGCGCTGGTGCAGCGGCCCTTGCACACTTGTCACTGTATTCAGGTCATACATCGCGTCTCTTATAGGGGACGCCCTAGCATTAACACAATTTCTTAAAAGATTAATGTCATTATTATTCGACAAGTTTTACGATGGTTGTCGGCTACCTAACGCAACCATCCACTTTTCTTATCCAGGACTTGGGACCTGGCAATGGCAGTATTTCTATATGGATTTGAATGTTGGCAAAAAATTTTATAGTCAATTGAGTATGGCAAAAAATGACAATAGTAAGATATATGCTTAGTAAAACTAGATGTAAATGGATTGGAGTTAATTATATTAGAGATTATGCAAGTTATAAAAATAAATGACCATAATTTGGGCATGTATAGCGAATGGAAATTTCTCCAATAAAGTTGTTTGATAGAATAATGTTGAAGAGTTGGATGACTAAATGTAGACCAAGGGAAATATGACCAAATGCTTTCAATAGAGATTATAAAGTTAATGTCTCTTGTGGTACTTGACAAAAAATGGATGGAGGATTCGTAAACAACCACAAAATAGATAGGATATGGCTAATGATGATGACAAAAATAATAATAATTATGTTTTTTAGCTATTTGGTGCAAAAACAGGCTTGGTTTGTGATGCTTCCTTTTGTTCAACAGTGGGTAACAAGGTGAAGGGTATGGGCTCTATATAATTTTGAAATATTACATACTGTTTCTCTTTTTTCAATAATTTTGAAATATTACATATTGTTTCTCTTTTTTTATAATTTTGAAATATTACATACTGTATCTTTTCTATTTTTTGAATAAAAGATACAACCTTTCCATATTACTTAGATTTATGCAACTTTTAATCATCTCTAACAACCTTATTTTCTTACATCAGCATCAATGGATTCAACAGCTCAGACTGGACATAATGGTGCAGATTGGCAAGAAGAGGTTTATCAAAAAGTAAGAATGATTTATCAACTTATTATTGTTTTATATCTTATATTGGTATGCTGATGTTTCTGCTTTTTCTTAATGCATAGAGCGCATATTTTATTTAATTTTTTTGGATGTATCTTAGAACCTAAATATCTTTAGATTAATATCATTTGATTCCCTTCAAGATTATACTTGATGCTCGAGACTTCTGTTAATATGAAGGTCTCAGGTGAAATTGATGTAGAACTATGTATGCAAGTGATGTTGATTTGGAAATTATCCGTGTTTGAACAGAGCTTAACAATTTATTAACTCACAATGAACTTAAGCAATGACTTCAACATGCAATGGGGAAATCAAGTTTACGAAAGCAATCACATGCTAATGGGAGGACCATTAAATAATAGATTAATTAATACATGCTCATGTGATGTTTTAGAGACAATCCCTAAGTTAACAAATAGATTAGTCACTACAAAGGCCCACTCACACAACGCTCTTGGTGTGGACTAAGCGGATAAGCTTTCATAATAAAACGATGCCATGATTGGGGAGGAATAAAAAAAAGGGGGGGGGGAGGGGGGGGGGGGGGGGGGGGGGGGGGGGGGGGGGGGGGGGGGCGCGGAGTATACCCGCACGGAAGAAGATACTAAGCTACGAGTCGTTTGGCTACCTATGTGGAAAGGACAACAGTACGAACCCTCTTGCATACCCGGATAGCACGCTAATGTCTCCGAAAATTTTGGACAATAACTTTGTGGGCACCAAATCCTAGAACAACTGGTACTGGGGATGGAAAACAGGCTGATCCTGTATTTCAGCAGCAGGAGGCCGTCTTTGGGATGATTTGGGAGGAAAACAACAAGTTCCTGGCATGAAATTGGGGGGCGACAAGCACTAAATGATTAGGGGGCTGATTTGGGGCCATAGTGGAGTTGTCAGCTATTGCTTACTAGTTAAGGAAAAAGGAATTGATTCATTAAATACTTAGATTTGCTGATGGGGATATCCTTTCAAACATAGGACAACAATTTAGGAAAGGAATTCAAGGCTTGGAGTAGAATTCAAATTTGAATTCAAATTCTCAAAATTAACACTAGGCTAATTCAAGAAGGGGAATTGATGGGATCTAAGATCCAAAAGCAAAGAAGGAGAACACTAGGGACAAATGGATCAAAGCTCAACCCAAAAAAAAAGGTTGATAAACCACCGACAAAGAAACAAACCGATGCAAGAAACATAAAAGAGGACTTAGAAAGAAAAGACAAAATTATAAAAACACTACCCTCAGAACAACCTTAAAGGTCACCTCGCATGTATCCATATAATTAGGAAAAATTAGGTGCTCTAAAGAACATTCAAACCAGGGGTCCACCACAACAATCTTTATCCAATGACCGTTGGCACTCATCCGACAAATAACAACAAACCGGCCAACAACACCACTCACACTTTATGTAGAGTAGAAAGATAAAATGGAAAGGTACTTGTAGAGAGAAGAAATAAATAGAAGACTATAAGAGGAAATAGGTGGGAAAGAAGTAGCTCTCAGGTTAGGAAGAGAAAACCCTCAGGTTTTAGAAACAATTTTTGATAATTCAAAACCTCTATACAGCAGCAAACAACACCCTATAAATAGGAAAAAAGAATACAAACAGCCCCCAAAAGGTGTCGCCCCAAGCCTCTAATGGAAGAGGCCAAAGCATGGAAAATTTCCAAGAGAGAGGCACGACCAGCCAGGAACCAAACATCCAGAAAACCAATAGCCAGCTCAGGATCCGAACAGCCGGAAAAATTCAACAGCCAGCTCAGGAACTGAACAGCCAGAAAACCCATCAGCCGAAATAACAAAACACCAAGCAGCTAAGGGAAAATGGGCCAAGCCCAATAGGAGAATTTCAGCCCAACAACAAATGACCAAAAATCAAAGAAAGCTAGCAAACCAAAGGAGTGAAATGTCCTAAGAGCACCAATCCTAAACATGTTCATAAGTTGTCTTCCATCATAGCGTAAACAAAATAAAACATAAAATATCCAAATTACACAAGACCAAAATAAAAATTTAAAAACATTCGAATAAAAAAAATATGCTGATAGATATTGAATGCATCAGGAATTAATTGGGATGTCCAATTAATATTCAAATTGATTGATTGGGATATCTTTCAAAACATGACCCAACAATTTGGGAAAGGATTTCAAGGCTTTAAGAGATTTCGAATTTGAATTTTAGATTTTCCAAAATTAACACTTGGCTAATTTAGGAAGGGGAATTAATTGAGATTTCCAATTAATATTCAAATTGATTGATTGTGTTATATTTTCAAAATAACCCAAATTTTAGGCTTTAGGAGATATCGAATTTGAATTTCAGATTTTCCAAAATTAACCGTAGGCTAATTTAGGAAGGGGAATTAATTGGGATCTCCAATTAATATTCAAATTGATTGATTGGGATATATTTACAAACATAACCCGACAATTTGGGAAAAGATTTTAAGGCTTTAGGAGATTTCAAATTTGAATTTCAGATTTTTTGAAATTATTGCTTAGGCTAATTTGGGAAAATGTTAGAGGGTCAATTTAAAATTTTGGAAGGAAAGGGAAGAGGGGGTCATGATGGTTTCGACCATGGGAACAAGGAGGTGGTCAGCTGCTATGAAGGAGGTGGAAAGGAGTGTCTGTGCATAGTCAACGCTAGGAGGAGAAAAGAGGTGGTTAGTTGGAGCTTTGGGAGGAGATGACAGTGGCGACAAGCTCAATGGGGGTGGAGGAGGACATAAACTGTGAGCCCGGACACTTCTTGCGGCTGGTGGATTTTGCTTTGCCCTCACCTAGCTCAAGGCTCTCAAACACACCTAGACATAAACTGTAGAAATTTTCATTCATAATAAAGGGGAGATGAGGCCTATAAATAGACAAAATATAATAAAACATCAAATGACAAAAGTTCCCCATGGGGTCGCATAAATCTACTCCCTCAAGTGAGGGTAAAAGCGAAAAATTACACATAATAAATCAAATACAAATTAATGCATAGATATAAAGTAATCCAATCGTAGATGTAGATCTCCGGCCCTTCATCTGATAAACTTTTCACGGCCGTATGTCCTCATCATAAATCCTATACCAAAATTGATACTCATGCTATGCCATCATATATTGTTCTGTTACTATGTTATTGTTTTACAAATAATTTAAAGGTACACCTTTCTCTAACGTATAAGGGAGCTTCACATTATAAAAAGGTTTTAAAAACCCTTTGTTTGGGTTCATGTGATATACAAAATACATCACTTTATTATTTTCATTAATCTAATCATTATTAGAAAATAAAATGTCCAAATTGTCTTTTTTTTTTTAAATTCTCTTGCTGAAAAAATCAAGTCATCTTGTTTTACCTTCTAGCCCTCTCGCTTCCCTCCCTTTCTACTCTTGTTGTTTGGAAATTGAAATGGTACCCTAGGGTAAGAAGCAGGCGGCGTATTAGAAGGTGCCAATGGAGAAAAATAGTTCTGGTAACTAAGGATGGTGCCATTGGTGATGAAAAAAAAAGGAGGCCAAGAAGAAATAAGACGCATACATTATTTTTGATATATTTCCCACCCAAAAACTTTACCATTACATACCTTCTCATAAAATTGCTTTACTATAAAAAATGATTTGTTGAAGTTCTTGATGACGACGCTAACATTGATCACAATGGCTTGGCCAGATGTGCAATGATATTCTTGCAATGTAAGATTATCTATGCTCCTAAAAAAATAATGACAGGGCAGATCTTCGCAAATTTTCTTGTCACATCCTAGTCACATGGATTCACTTCTCCATGATGATTTACTTGGCGAGCAATTTTTTCTCATTCATAAAAATAAAAGACTGGGCATTTGAAAACTATATTTTGACAGAACATCAATGTTCAAATTTACCCAACCACTAAACCTTCCAAAGACATGAGCTCGTATTGGTTTCATCTTTGTAACGCTTCATGAAGGTTTAATGAGATAATTCCTTCGGTTTGACTAAACTTCAAACTAATATTCAAAACTTTAGTGGTATGTCTCAACATTGTCGTTTCAATAAGAATCCAAACGATTCACATTTCTTCAATGATTCCTAGCTTGTCATTGTTGAAGTATCGGGCGTATACAAGATTAATATGCTTGAGCTAGCTTGTTACCATCAGCAAATTATTACCATATGCAGATTCTTGAGCTCATGAAATAATTTTAGAACATCAACTTAACCTGACTCTCATGAGCTTTGAAAGCCAGACAATTTCCTTAGTTTAATTGGCCAAAGAAATATCGACCATTAACAACGATTATCGATTGATTGGAGTTAATAATCATTGAGTGCTACAACCAGTAATTCTACAAACGCATAGGTAGAGTGATCGTCAAATTCAAGTCTGCACAACTGTAGTTCTTCTTTACTCTCCACCACCAGTCATTTTGCAATGCCATCAAGAGGAGCCTTTGAATGCTCAAGAAGAGTATAAATATGAAGAAGCTCTAGAATTGCAACATGTGACCTTCATGATAGAAACGCAAGATGATTGGAGACAGACTTTCATCAATTATTTCAAATAAGACAAATCTATGATGGACCGATGATTTTCTTTAAGAAAGTATGCAGTGTCCAATACGTATTGAGCACGAATATACCTCTGACATGTGTTAGACATGGCGAAGATGTGTAAATTAAAATAATATTAAAAATTGGATGCACATGTTCTAAATATTTTATAAATAAAACTTCTTTTAAATATAATTTCTTATATTTCAATTTTTATGTATTAAAAAAGAACATCGACGCTTGATTGTTGGCATTCTAATCATAATCTTTTTAATCACAAATTATAATTAAACAACTTACCATTTTTATTATTTTTAATTTTATGCTTATTTAATTTCCATTTCCTATTTTTAAGCTATAAAAATTATAATGTTATGTTCAATCTGTATTTGTGTCTTATATTTTTAATAATTGATGTGTCCCATATTTGTATCATATCTTGTTCG